ATTGTACAGTGGCATTAAGTGCCGTAATGTGCACCTCTGCCTACCCCTTCGGGGATAAAAAGGCGTGATGTTATGTTATGTTATTTTTGAAGTATTGGGAGTTTATTGAAATTTAAGATTGCATTTTCGAAGGACTACACCCTGCAATGGATAGAATACAAATTATATTTTCCACAAGTAACACTACTTAACAATTACCTATCTTACTTAGGTCCACGATTGAGTATCGTTCTGTAACCCAGTGCTAAAATATTACGACAAATTAAAATCTTAGAGACTATTGTTGGCCACTATTAAAGTCACGTTCAGTATGCAATCGGGTGTCTTGGTAATTCATTTTTTCTGCAGCGGGTTGCGACAGCCATCGCCACGGCCGGTGGCGCGCAATAGCCTTTTATCCACACTACAACAGCATTTTGCGAAAAACTCAATCAAGGCCGCGTACTTGGCAGCCGAGACAAATCTATATTTTAATAGTATTTTTTCCAAGACGCTATCGCAACTCGTTGCGTGCAGACATTAGCCAACTGTGCGTGTTGTCATAAGTTCAGTTTTTTGTCAGTTCCAAACTAAACGTTATGAAAATACTTGTTAAGAACCAAATTACAGTTTTTAGGTTAAGAAATGTGTATCTCTGTGAGGAAATGCTCGATATAACGTGAATGGTAAAGTTAATTGATTTGAACTTATTGTACCTGCTGCGGTTTTTGCTCGGCAGGCGCTTGCATTGACCAAATTTTTCACATTGCAGGGTGAACGAACTGAACTTTTGACATTGGAACGCTCCAGCCAATCGTGGCGATGTAGCAATACTTCAATAAATAATAGTTTTTATTTACATCTGAATGAAAAGGATATTGGGTACAGTTTCATAGGTTTTCACTGAAAGCATTGACGATAAATGAAAATAAATTGGTTTGTTAAGATCACGTACTAGTTCAACCGCATAATTTTCTTTGGACATAAGAATGTGTTACTCCTGTGACAGAAGACTGGAACACATACATCGTGTTGTAATTCATAACTAGTACATCGTAAATAAACACTTAAGTATAGCCTATCGGTAAATGTCATTGTAACGATACTTTTAATCATGAGAGAAATTAAATTAATACAATAATTACTGATTGGTATCCATGCTGTCTATAAATCCTTTGGTGCAGTATAATTACCTGTTGAATTTAAATAATAGGTATTTATAATACTTCAAATTGCTGATTAACTCCAGGCATCTCAAATCTACAGCTATTTTTTAGCTAATCTCAAATTGATTGATTGGATTTGACTGCATAACTGGAATGGTGGCTGGGCAACGAGTCACGGGTTTCATTCCCTAACGAAAGAACTGTTTGTGTGATCTACATATTGTTGTTCCGGGTCTGGGTGTCATATTGTGCATGTAAACTTGTATGTATGTATGTAAACGCACTCTCGATACAAAAGAAAATCCTAGTTTGGGACAACGTTTAACAAATAAAAATATTTTATTTTCGAAATTAGACATTTCTTTAAACATCAGTCAGTTCTTATTCATTGCATTTCAACAAATCACATTAATTTGTCAAAAACGGTAATTTCTTTCTAAGCAAATACACAATTATAATAAGCAACATTAATCGAGTACTTGTTTGGTTTCGTTAGCGGCATACACTAGCATAGTAACATGTCTCGAACACGGTTAGGAATCGAGGCTGCCTCCAATAATTGTGGCGGATCGGTGCCTGCCTGCATGGCGCTATCTACGATTTGTATCAGCATGCACTCATGTTGCAAGTGTATCGAGTGTGGACTGGATGGTTTCCTTTGAGGCTAAACACAAGAGATTTTGTGTATACAGACTAGAAATATGTGTTTTGAGCTGTATTTCGTCACATTCAAATTCGGAACAAATACTTATTGGTAGCTAACACAAATATTATTGTGCAGTGTACTATCTGGCGACGAATGTTTGCTACATTTTTCCATGCCATCAAAACAATTAGTTGACACAGTTTAGTATACTAAAATGTCAACCAACAGTTTTCCGGCTCCCACTAATAATACCGTTTGCCCCACAAAGCCTAAAAACGCTTTTGTTTATATTAAAAACAGAACAAAAATGTTCAGAAATAAACGAGGAGCAACTATGGGCCGCAGCACTGTTACCTATTGAGGCGTATCGTTCGCGATTACCGCCTGCCGCCTGCATCTCTGATTGCGTACTAGTTCATACTAATACTCACCTGTACTGGCAAACTGTGGTTAGTCTATATGCAGGATATTTAAGTTCTTAAAAACCATTTGTGGGTTTGTCAGGCACCCGTGTTATTAATAATGTTGTAAATTCTACATTCAAAAGCAGGCGTATTAATGAAACTTTTCCTTTGTTTCAGATAGCGCAGCAGCAGGGTGGCGGCGTCCAAGTATGGCGGTGGAGGGCTCTCACTGGGCTCCGGCGTCGCGGTGAGACGCGGCATGAAGTGCGCCGGCGTGGCGGGCGCCAGCGGCGACGAGCTGTTGCTCGGCAGCTGCTGGCTGGACCCCAAGCTCGATAACTCTTCCCCCCCGCCCACCTGCCACGAACTTCTCGACTCTCTCCTCGCCCCTACCCCCCTCGCAGAGCTAAAGCCTCTCCCTCCCTTTACTGGCTACACCGGCCACCTCTCTATCAACGGCATCTCTGGACACCACTACCACGCTATCGCGCAACGTCTTCCAGAAGAAAACAACAACTATCCAACGCAGAGCGGCTACGGCGCCGACCACGATGTCGTGTCTTCGTCAACGTGTGCAGCTGACACCGAGCCCCCTGACTTAGAGGATGTCAAGCCATTCCTCGATGCGCCAGACACCAAGCCTTTCGCTGACACCTCCGCTGCAGACTCCTGTGCCGCGTCCTGCTCCCCACCCGCTAAGCTTTTTGAGGATGGGCACAAGCAGGACATGTACGATATCAGTTCGATAGAAGATATCGCAGCGATCATTGGCTCAGCTATCGCCGACACGACTGTACCCTCGCAACCAGAGGATCCCGAGAGAAATGATTCCAGAGACAGTTGGATGGACATCGATGCTTGGATCTCTGGCGCGTGCACACAACCTGGTGATAAAATAGTGCAGCAGGATCTTGCTGAGTTTGGTTTGCCTAATTCACCACCTTCGGGTCAGAATCATCATTCCAGTCTTGATTACCCTTGCAAAAATCAGGAATTTACAAAAAGTACTGAGTTTCTTCAGAAGAATTTAGGACAAGCTGGATCGACATTGCAGTCTTTGTTGACGCATGGCTACATGCCACTGCTACAAAATCGGCTGCAAAACGGGCCCCCGGTGAAGCAGGAGGCGCCGAGCTCTACAAGTTATGGAATGGACGTGATATCAACCTCATCTCCGCCTGGGAACGCTGTCTCCACGACTGATGGTGTTGGTGGGTTATTAAATGGTCGATACGCACCACATTATGCGCTCGGTCTAAAACCAGATGGCCTCTGTAGTCCAGAAAGACTTCTAGGCTACCCGCATGCTCACACCACTACTTCCACGCCAGCTAGTAAAAGCAAAAGGAGTCGAGCTAAAGCGAAACAGGCGAATAGTGGTAACATGCACGGAAGCTCACTCGCGTTCCCGTCAGCGACCGCGGCGGAGCTGAGTGGGCTGCTGGGTAAGGAGAAGCCGGTGCACCGGTGTGGGATATGCAATAGAGGGTTTCTGAACAAGTCCAACATAAAAGTACATCTGCGAACACACACGGGGGAGAAACCGTTCCGGTGCGACGTGTGCGCGAAGGCGTTCCGGCAGAAGGCGCACCTCATCAAGCACCAACAGATCCACAAGAGGATCGGCAGGGACTAGCATACGTGTAGGTTCTAGCTCAAGACGAAGCATTTGTAGTTTGTAATATAGTGTGTCTGTGACTGTAGTGTCAGTGGGCGTGGTGACGCAGTGCGCGCTGAATCTCATGTAGGCTATTGTAAATTTATTTCGTTAGGGACGCAGAGGTCGCGCCTCACATAGAACTATGGCATTCCTCGTAGACAGGTGTCGCCAGGCGCGCGATGCTCTGTATGTCTCCTAACGTAGTTACGTGGTATCACGAGTAATTAATTAACCCATTAGTATAACATTCCTAAGGACAAGTGCAATGTTAACTAGTTTTAAGCAATTTATATTTTCTGTATTATATGATTAGTTCGTAAGTCCTTAAAGTTTCCCTCTCCGCTCTTCACGATTGTTTTCTGAGCTATCCGTCTCATTAGTGTAGTAGTCTCCTATTATTTCGGTTATGTGTTGCCGTCTGTATGTATGTATGACTTGTAACAAGCTACGTAACTCGCGCGCTCTCAAATAGTGCCTTAGGATCGGTCAAAACATGAACGAATTATATATTTGTAATGTAGAACATTTTTATTTAATTTTGTATGTGAATGGTTACTCCGATTACCTATTGTTAGTCAGAAATTTTAATTAGATTTTTCTTATAAATGTATAAAATAAGTACTTAATTAATTTAAGGAAGAGAAATGACAAAGCTCATGAGGCTAACACGATACTGCCAAGTATAAACCTTTTGTACTTATAAACTTTGTATAAAATACTCTTTTAAAATGTATATGAAGTAGGGATCATTAATTATTTGGTTGGCAACATAGTTTATGAGTAAGGTTTAGTTTTGATATCGCTGCTGCTAGTTATTTATTATCTTCGCGCCACTTCTTGGCTCTCTGAATTAACTTTCTACTTGAAGAAACAAGTATTAATAACATAACATACCTCAGTAACACATCAGTCACAATATGTAAATAAATAAAAATCTTTGCGACTTATGTTATACTTAAATCATAATATATGTTCATCGCTTCAAATAAATATTTATTATTAAAAAAATTGGGACCAAAAGTTTAAAAAGCAACTTGCAAAGGTTTTTAATGTTATTATCGAAGTAATCATTAATCCATTCTGTCATTTAAACATTTAGTATTTAATACGAATCACGACCATTTCATTATTACACTAAAATTCGGATCATAACTTCACAAGTCAATTTAAATCAGAAATCTTTGCGCATCTCTCATTCTCATTTCACTTACATTTAACTTAGTTCAGAATCACTCAATATCATTATTTCATAATGTCATCACATTATAATCATTATGATACAGCTGTCAGATCATCACAAAGCAATCATACAAATATTCATCATTAACAGCATATTCGCACCTCATTATCATCACAAATATCAATAGGAGGAAAGACGGTGCAATATCTTATTCATTGTCATACAACCACTTCATTCATTTAATTAGCTTGACTGTCAAGATTGTTAAAAAGTGAATCCCTATAATAAAACTATAACAGTAATCAGCATCCGATACTGCCATCTACAGCTCAATTTTAATAAGAGCTAAATCTCAATTGTGTTTTTGCATTGAACCACCTTCAGAATTCAGATGTATAATAAATTCAATAATTAAAAAAACAACGGATAAATTTTATTGATGGAATATAACGGCCAATCACAAGTCGCAATTGAATACTTATATTTTATGCTGAACGCTAGATGCGGCGGTGCACGCGAACGGAACTCGACGCGTCCGGGAAGCGGACGGATAAAAAATCAAATTCGTACTAATAATACCGATCCGTTGTTGCGTAAGATTGCTATTCGTTGGCAGTTTATAATTATTGTTACGGCATTACACACACACGTATTTGGGCCATTTACCTGTAGCGAGGCTAAGGGCTGCGTGATTCGGACTGAGAACCAATTACACCGCACTCGTAGTTTGTAATAAACTTCATGATTTATTACTGGATCACGTGAGACTGACGAATTTTATTATCTTTATGTTCTATTCTATCAACTACTTGTTTAAGGGGATCATTCTTGCTAGGTTAACACTATTCTTCATGACAGTCATCGTGAATCATAAAACATTGCAAATTCATTCTATACATCCATCACATAAATTAAATCGTCAACATCATCACAATCAAAACTAAAAACTTTCATTAATTTCACAAAATTTTGCAAATCATTTCGTAACAATATGTTGCAGAAAAATAATAATCATCGTAGCATCAAACACAGGTCTCATATCACACAGGTCTCGTAAGTCACAGGTCTCATATCACACAGGTCCCATATCATAGATAACTCATCTCATTAACTTAAGACTGTGAACTTTGACATAAAGCTGCGTACACACATTCCATCCCCATACATTGTTATCTCGTGTGCTATCATCTTTCATCTTGTGTATTCGATACACTCATAAAATACTAACATTCCAAGTACAGCACATCAAGCTACACTAAACTGTCATAGGATATTAGGTCGTATTATAAAATAATAAAGTTGGATATCTATTAGAGGAATTTTGCAGTTCGGATAGTTTGGTGTGCTGTTAAGCTATCATTGTCGTAGGACAATCTTTGACTGTTTGAAGCGTTGAAGCGCTCGTTGAGACAGGTTGCGGCTGTCTAGTAGGGAAAAACACACGCTGCGGGTAATGACGTGTTTTTAAACAAAATCTCACATATCCCGTTATAACTTTCATCTCACTGCTTTTCAATAAATTCACCACAAATTGAAAGTAAAGCAAAAATGTTATCTCAGTATAAATTAGAGTTAATCTCGATACCAACTGTAATCTTTAGATTTTAATGTCATTTAAACTAACGGATATTTCGAAAAGAAAGCAAAAGTCGAGTACTTCTTTCCGTTAGGTTTTATTAATTTGCTTTCTCTGATAAAATGTATATCACTGAACGCAGTTGCAACTATTTAGAAAACTGCAATTAAATTAATGCGTTTAAAAATGCAAACTGCATAAAACTTTCATCTGAAAATGGTGACCCACAATGTTATCGTGTAACAGCACTATCTCGATGTATACTGAATACTTTATGTCTGTATGTGTATCGCATGTTAACTGTCGCGTCTTAATTATTCAATGAATGAATGTCATTACTTTAGAGATTACGAACAAATGAATCTGAACGCCCGGCGGCGCAGGCGCAGCGTGTGTGAGTAGAACTTAATAAAAGTACCTTTTGTTAGAATATAAATTGTTAGCGTTAAGTATTTATTTTTCAATTATAATTTTTGTAATTATTAATTAATTGTAAAGGATTACAGTTGACGAAAACAATTAAATATTATGCGTACTTTTAAGGCGGCGAATGTTATTTTTCAAGAGGTTTTTTTTCCAGTAGTTTAAGTAAATTTGTAAATTAATGTAAAATAAATGAAGATTTTTTTTGTTAACGATAACTTTTTGTTTGTTTTCCACTCTCCTTCACGTGGTAAGTTCATGGTAAGTTCATACTAGGTAAGTACTAGCTGAGCGAAGTTATTAATTACATATATTTACTCTGAATATTATCATAGAATGGCGCATAAAAACTAAACGCAGCAATTTTCTAAAAATACACGCAGAGACAAAAGTGGGTCACATTAGACATCTATAGAGCAAACAAAGGTGTGAACACACGAAGTGAAAGATCCAACTAAAAGTTTAGTTCACACAACACACGTAATGTTCCCGTGCGTCTCGGAAGAAAGTCGGATGTGAAAATTGTCATAATGCACACACAAACGACAAATTGCCTTTTTGCGTCAACAAGTGCTCTTGCGCAGGGCACACAAGAGAAAACACACACACGAACGTAAAAAGCCGTGCGAATATAACTCACACGTGCACGTAAAATGTCAACGTAGCGCTGTGTCTCACATAGGTACACGCACACATAGGTAAAGTATGGTTAGCAAAACAGTTGTTAAGAAATAAATTAATTACTTTTTTATATAGAAACGTAATTAAGTTAGTTAGTGTCGGTCTGTGGCCAATCGATATTTTATATAATCGACTTTTGCAAATCTGTGTCGATTGTTGGAGTGACAACATTACAATGTCAACATTTTACGTTGTCGGACAAAAGCTATATTCACAGTTCACGACAGTTTTTTTTATTTTAAATTATATAAACATCAGTTATTAAGCAAATCAATCACAGATAAAAAATATTGCTAAATAATAATATGATAAAGCACATTGCTTATTAAATTAAAGGTATAATACTATATTATATTTTATGTTATGGCAATAAAACACAGATTCATTTACATATAATTATTGTAATATCCGTTTTATCCTGTTTAAACATTTACCAGTAGGCAACCTTATAAAGACTATGAACTTTAAACTGTCAAACACCGCGAGGACACCGGTGACCGCAACCTATTGGTATTTAATTGTGTCTATAATGACGGTACTCAACGAGTTAAGACTCCTTTTGTCTAGTAATCAGCTCTAATTTGGATCATAAGTAGGTATCAGTACGGGTTTTAGATATTAGACAATGAAATTGAGACCTTTTTTATGGAATAGAATGGTAAGCGATCAGCCCCGCTATAGACATTCGCATCAGCGACGTACGTCACTCGCAACACCAGAGGAGTCACAGGTGCGTTGCCGACCTTAAAAAGGTATGAACTCTTTTCTTGAAGATTTGAAGGTTCTCTTCTTCACTGCAAAGAGGTAAAAAATGAGACATTTACTACAGACTTAGTATAACTGCATCTTATCTAACTAGTGTTAGATTCGAACCACCTCATTATAAAACAGCTCAAAGTAATTAACTGTAAATAAGACGCAATTATTTATGGTGCTAACTTAATTCATTTTCACTGTGAATTACTAATTAACTGACACTTCTTAGTTATTGCTACGAATAAGTTCTTCATGTTATTTGAATAACGTTTTATTACAGATAAACAGACTGACAGACTATTATTTATTTTATATTTGTTGACGTTTCAAAAGTACCAAATTATGGTTTAATTGAAATAAATGCTTTTGAGTTTGAGTTTAATTTTAAGACGGCCTCGTTGGCCAAGTGGTCACCAAAGTCACAAATGTGACTGCCGGGAAAGAGGTCTCAGGTTCGATTCCTGGGTCGGGCAAAGTATTAGTGGGCTTTTTAAAAAATATTCAGTAGTAGCACGGAGGCTGGAATTGTGCCCGGTATATGGCAATAGGCTCACCCCCTATGACATGAGATTCATACTCAATATAAATAATGAAAACTAGGTGTTATATGGTACTTACAATGGCATTAAGTACCGTAATGTGCACCTCTGCCTACCTCTTGAGGGATAAAAGGCGTGATGTTATGTTATGTAACTAATTAACTAACACTTATTAGTTATTGCTACAAATAAGTCCTTTATGTCCTTTGAATAACATTTTATTAATTTTTTAATATTAATTCACATTAGTAATATTAAATGCCGCTAGTAACTGATTTAGGTTATCTAGCTGGTACCTAGGTAGTAAGTTTAATTAGACTAGTTTGATTATGTAACAGACTTTAATACATACAAATGACAGTTAGTAAAAAAATCTACGTTAGCATAAACGAAGCAAAATAAAACAATAAAAAATAAAATAATTTCGGTAAAATAGAAGCAAGGTCGGCTTGTTTTGCTGTCGGTAGGTGCGCGCGCGCCGGAGAGATTCTTTCACCAACCCACTTACATAGCGAGGCTTGATTTCACCGCCCGCCGCCGCAAACTACTACGTGCTCGCTTTAAATATGAACCTGAGACATTTTTACGACCTCCGCAATTTATTTCATTGAATTACTTTGTATAGTATGTTTAGGTATTTTGTATCTAGTATGTTGACGTAATAGAATAG